CGGGGTTTTATTAATTTATATGTTATTTTCTTTGTTTTTTTATTTTGTTAAAATATACTTTACATCTAAGTACGTTGTTGTCTTAAGAGGGTACTTCGTTTTATCGGTGAACCGGAAGCAGTACCAAAAGAGGAACTACGGCCAATTGTTGACTTAAAAGAGTCGAATAGATGGCCAATTGTTTCCTGTGCGCAGCCTGCTAGATATTGCATCACAGCCGGTTGGTTGTCTAAAGGATGTCCTGCTTGATGTTATTATGTACAATTTTAAATTTCATTATTACTTATTTTTTCTCTTCTTACTTTACTATACGGTTCACTGAGAACGTCAAAAAGAGCAATAAGTTTAATGTGTTGTCCACTTGTAATTATTGTTGACGAAATTGCCATTCTAGTACACAATGTACACACGAATAAGTGTTTAATTTAAACTTGATTATTGAATGAAACTCTTTCATCAGTTTTTAAAGTTTTTAAATTGATGAATATTCGATTAATTTTGTCATTTAGTTATTCACGATGTATATTAAATAACCGATGATTGAAATAGTGTTGGAATTTACGATTATGTATGACAACATAATAACCTATCTATACAATTCCAATAAATACTTTTTTTACAGTACATAACACAGTTTAAATATTTTTAAACTTTAGCGTGTTTAATGTTTATTTAATTAAAAATAAAGAGTTTGAATGATTTTTAAACATATTATCTTGAATGGTTCAAATATGTTTTACCTTGTTCAACAAACTGAAAAATACATAATGAGGTAAAGTAATTGACCCAGTACTTCAGTATATCTGGAAAAATTTTCGTCCATTGGTGTTAATTTGTTTGTAATTCAATTTTAGTTAAACATGAATTCACAAAGCAAAACTAATAGTTTTGCATAATAATTAAGATTGTTGTTTGAATTAATTTTATACTATAACAATAAATACTTTAAATTTCTATCTAGATAAAATGTACTTTATTGTAGATATTTATTGAAATCCAGAGCACGGAAAAACTTATTCAATTTCAATAATTAAAATAAGAAATACAATTTTCACAATTATTCATTTTACACGTGCTAAAATTAGAATAGCTTTATCCTGAAAAAAGTGTAAACTTCATTACTTTTTTCTTTATTATTTCTTGATGTTTAATGAACATATTNATATCAGCACAAAATTTTTTTTTCTAAATACATTATAAGTACATCTTTCATTTGACATACTTTTTATTAAAATTGGACAATTTCCCTATATATAGGGGGCGTTCAAAACTTGAAATATTGTAAAAAACATAGATCTTTTTCAATTGAACTTTAGAAAATGTTCCGGGAATACTACGTCCTTTAAACANTTTCATTGCAGTTCTAAAATAAAATAGTTTCGATATTATTACAAAAATATTTTTTTTATCATTTTTAATTCTTAAAAAAAAGATTTTTTTTATTTATATTAAATAGTATGTATTAAATAAACTCTTTTATTTATGTATCTATTAAATGATTATTTTAGCNTTTCATTGCAGTTCTAAAATAAAATAGTTTCGATATTATTACAAAAATATTTTTTTTATCATTTTTAATTCTTAAAAAAAAGGTTTTTTTTTATTTATATTAAATAGTATGTATTAAATAAACTCTTTTATTTATGTATCTATTAAATGATTATTTTATCTTCCATGCGAAGCTGAGAAGGTATTAATTTTACTACACCCAGAGAAAAACCTCGATCTATATAATAAATTCATTGTTCAATTTGATAAATATATCATTACTATTGAACCTATGATATATTTATCAACATGATAATTTTTTTCTTGTCTTGAACAATAATTATTCATAAGAATAGTTATTTTGTTCGTATTAATAAAACATTATCATAAACCTGATAAAATTTCTCTATTAAAATTGATTGAGGTTTTTCTTTGGGTGTATGATGTGTTTTTTTTTTTAAATAGCAACTTTTTTACAAAAACTAACTTTTTCAACTTAATTTTTGAAAATGTTCCGGAAATACTGCGTCCTTTAAACATATATCAAATTAAAGCTTATTTTATGTACTATAAAATGAAAAAAAAAATTTTGTCCCGACACTTTATTTTCTACATTTAAACGGCTGCCGTAGTTAAAAAAACACTATTTTTGTGTTAAAATTTTCGATTTTCGATTTTTAATTTTCAACTTAAAAATGCTATAACTTTTTGAAAAATGTATATATCAGCACAAATTTTTTTTTTCTAAATACATTATAAGTACATCTTTCATTTGACATACTTTTTATTAAAATTGGACAATTTCCCCTTATATAGGGGGCGTTCAAAACTTAAAATATTGTAAAAAACATAGATCTTTTTCAACTGAACTTTTGAAAATGTTCCGGAAATACTGCGTCCTTTAAACATATATCAAATCAAAGGTTATGTTATATACTATCAAATGAAAAAAAAAATTTATCCCGACATCTTATCTTCTATGTGCAAATGGCTGTCGAAAATTAAAAAAAAATGTAATGTTTGTGATAAAAATCATCTTTTATTGGGATGTTTTTTGTACTTAAAACTGCCATAACTTTTTAAAAAATGAACAAATAATAATAATATTTTTTTGTATNGATAATTTTTTTCTTGTCTTGAACAATAATTATTCATAAGAATAGTTATTTTGTTCGTATTAATAAAACATTATCATAAACCTGATAAAATTTCTCTATTAAAATTGATTGAGGTTTTTCTTTGGGTGTATGATGTGTTTTTTTTTTTAAATAGCAACTTTTTTACAAAAACTAACTTTTTCAACTTAATTTTTNAACTTTTTTACAAAAAATAACTTTTTCAACTTAATTTTTGAAAATGTTCCAGAAATACTGCGTCCTTTAAACATATATCAAATTAAAGCTTATTTTATGTATTATTAAATGAAAAAAAAAATTCGTCCCGACGACCTATCTTCTATGCGAAAATGTCTACCGTATTCAAAAATATGCTATTTTAACAAAATTTTTTTTTTTAATTAAACACTATCTACAGATTTGCACTGAAGCGTTTCTTATGATAGTGATTTTAATCACTGTCAGATATCATCTATACTGGACCCAACTATGCCGCCACCCCACTGTGCTGGTTGTTTTATTTACTTCATAATATTTTTATTTTTCTTATTGCTATATTTTTCGTAATATACTTTAAGAAATTATCATTTAGGAGTAGTTTATTCAATTTTATGTAAGTGGGCCATAAGTATACAGTACTGATTTATTTTTAGGTCTTTTGTTATACCTTTAGCGGCTTATGTGTGTATTTTATAAAAATTAAGAACTATTACCAACCTTAGAATGAATTTTTATGTTTGTCAAACACTTAGTTGTATTGATTTTATTGAACACACTACCTGTCACTTCTACCCTATCATTTTTACGTACAGCGTTTTTTATTATAAAAGTTCACAGATAGTATGAAAAAGTGATTATTTATAATATTTTTAATGGGTAATATGTACTTTTTAAGAATTACACTTGTTTTTGTGAAAGAACAATGTTAAAAGGACTTATAAAAAATGTCTATTTATTTAACCAGTGGAACAAATAATATAATATATGTATATATATTATAAAATTAAATAACCCAATTTATTTTGTAGTAATTAATTTTATAGTTACTTTTATTATTTTAATGAAACATATTGTTCAGCCTAATAAAAATGTAATGTTTTTTTAAACTTTAGAATATCTCTTGAGGTATTAATATTCTCTAGTACATAAAATTATTTTAAATTGTTCCCTTTTGTTGAGTTTATGTTGTATCGTGCATTTAAACATCTTTTTATTTACAAAAAGAAATATTTTAACAAAATTTTAAATACACTTTTATTTTCGTTTTAAATATATTATAGTATCAATTTTTATTTAAAGGAACTATAATTGATAAATTTTTATTGATGATATGGTATATATCGATTAAAACTAAAATTTAATTTTAAATTAAAAATGTATAAAAACGATGTGTTTCTTAACCACTCGGTTTAGTTACAGTCTTGAGATATCATCTTTATACAGTATTTGTTATTTCCATTTAGATCCGTTTTTAATTATAATTTTTAATTCACTTTCTAATGTATTGATATTTTTTGTATAATTTTTATTGCAAAATGAAAATATTTAAGTTATTTAAAAAAAAAAATAATGTAAACATCATATTAAAACCAATACCTTCTCAATTTCGCTTGGAAGCTTAAATAATGTGATTATTATGTATCTAAACTAATTAATTTGGTTATGATATTTAAATAGTTGTTAAGTGTTCTTTTTTTTTAAATATTTAATTACATTATATGTATTTTTAGGTTTTTAATGCAAGATGACTAATATTTTTGAACTATCGAAGTTAGTAGTACTGTAACTGTATGCTTTCAATATTTTTGTTTAACACTTATAAATTAATTTTTTGTTAAATGTGTAATTAATAACAACTAAGTTGTACGTATTATACTAGTATGTTAAATCACTACAACGATTAGTGGATATATCTCCCTTTTTAATTAGATAAAAACTTAACTTTGCAAAACAATTCTGTCAATTCTGTTGAAATTATAAAATCTTATTTATTTTTTTTATTACCTTAAGGCTCAACATTTTTACCATGTTTTTAGATTGTACTTCAATTTTTTTAGTTAGAAAAATGCAAAAACTTTAGAGTAATCAAATATAATAATATATATTTATATATTAATGGGAAAAGTTGAAAATACTTAAAGCGTTTATACATAGTCAGACGTTTGTGTATATTTATGTAATGTATACTTCCTGATGTTAATAAAAAAATTCAGAGAAAAAGGCTTGTTAAATAAAAATATCTTAAATGAGTGAGAATCATAAGTTTATTAATTCAATAATTTATTTAACATAATAGTAAAACAAAAATAAGGTGTTTACATTTATGGCTTGTACTATCAAAACAATATTGTTAATAATAAAAGATATTTGAATGTTTAGAGTGACCAAAGAGTAATTATATGACTTATGAGGAATAAAAAAGAATTAACAACTCTATTTGTATAGATTATAGTTGAGATTAAAACAAAATTTGTCGAGTAAAATAAATTTGTAACAATAAAGAATAAAATTAATATTCATTTAATAAACATTTTCGGAATAAAATATGAAGCAACAGATTAAAATAAATATCAAAATCATTAAAACTGTTATTTATATGTATATTACACATATATTATAATATTTTTGCAAGTTTCGTTTTATAAGTGCAAAAACAATAGTGATTTTGATTGGATCAATATACATTATACAATCTTAACGAAATAGTAGAAATACTACATGTATTATTAATTACGATTAGTACGTACAATAATTAAAATGTATTACAACGATAGAATCATTATAGACTAGGAACACAAAAATCGTTATGAAATAACGTACATCACAATAGTTGTTTTTTTTCAAAATTGATTTGTTTTTTTATGTGTTAATAATAGCTTGTGAGATTCTAAAAATAACATAAGCCATAGGCCCGAGAGGGGAGGTCACAGTTATATTATTATTTTACTAAGGAAGATATTTATTTTACAAAAGATTCTAGTATTGATTTAGTTGGATAGTACATTAAAGAGATACCTACGCTACTTTCCTAAACAAACGTAAACAGGACTTATAATTTATTTTCGAATTGGTTTTCTCGCGAATAAAGAAAATAATTGTCTTACGGTTTTACTCATTCGACCGAGAGTCCGAATGATGAGAAAATGTATCAATTCCATATCGTCGGATCGGTTAAAATATTTCCGGAAACAATACTTCAGATCTAAAGAAATATTCTAAAGCTCTTCACAAAGGAAAAAAGTTTTTTTTTATAAATTGTATTTCTTAAAAACTAGTATTTTTTTCAACACAGGTTTCAAACACATCTCATACGTTTTACATTAACATACATTTTACATTTAGTCTACATTGTTGGGTTTTCCACTTATGCATGGAGAAAAATCCACTTTACACTAAAACGCATTTGTTTGCGTATATTGAAATTCTTTACATTTTGCCTTAAACGAGTTTCGAGTTATTATTAGGTATCTCAATAATACAATTTTACATCGATATTAATTAGATTTAAATCTAGTTTACAACATTGAAACTGTCTTCGAGTTGTGTAATAATTGTACTGATAGACCGTATGATTGCACTATAAAAGCTGAAGGTAAGACTTATTATTACTTTATTTTCTACTTTCACAGAGATATGTGACATGAGTATTATGTTGCTTAAGTTCAGCTATTCAGTGTGAGCTGTTTTAAGGCTGTTGAGATGTGAGCATCCAAATCGCCATCTTCATTTGTCATTTCGGGATGAACAAAGGATAAAAGAAAATGACACGTTCCGGGAATGTGTTCTGGAAAACCTGCCGGTAGGCATGATCGACTCCTTTCTTCAAATGAGAAACCTGGGGTTTTCATTAACAGCCTGTAATAATCGAAACAAATAGGTTAATAGTTTGAAGTTTGCTGTAGATAAAAATTAATTTTCAATTTAGACTGTAAAAAAATAATTCGTTTATTACTTATTGATTGAGTAAAATTCGGAAAACATTTTATCTCTTAGAAATAAACGAGGACTAGTTTTTCAATCTTGAGTTAACAGTACTTTACTGACCTTAAATAGAAATGTTATTAGGATTTCAACACAAGTGTATAACTATGAATCGATAAAAGGACTTGAGAAAATTTTGAATGTGAGCCAAATAGATTTCGTGATAAAAACTAAGTAATAGTAAAGACGATCATATGATGTGCGAAATTTACTTTGAGATTTAGATGATTATAGTTAAAATCACTATTACTCTTGTTGTTTCATAGATTTTAACAATTCATAAGTCATTAATACATGTTAAGTATTGATGTGCTCATGTAAGTCATTAAAGCAAAAATGATGACAACTAGTCATAATCTGATTATCTATTTGCTAAAATAGTAGAATATAATTTTTGAATCTGTTTTGTATTTAGAATAAAAAATATTGTTTAATTAAAATTTGATACAATAGCATAAACTTTTTGACATTTAATTATTTTCGTCGTAAATTATAAATGACACTAAAATTATATTTGTTGTAGAAGATAAGAATAAATTACTAACTGAGTTTTTATTGATAAACAAAAACCACCGCCGATTTAACTCATTTATTATAAGTTATAACCTATAAGTCAGAGGCAAAAATTGTATGGAGTTTGGAGATGAAAAAAAATGCTTGATAATTTACACAACGCTTAGACAGACACTGGTACGCTAAGATAAGATAAGGCTTTTATGTCAATGTAACAGCGCGCAATTATGGAGATGATTAACACTTCTATAATGAAACGTTGCAAAGATTTTAAGATTTCAGACATTATATTTAATGTATAGGTATTTAGGGGAAATGGAGTAAGTAATTGTTAGATGGGAGAGAAGAGTAGATGAGACTTTGTTGTTAACTTTGATTTATTTTACGAATAATCTACCAGTATGTAAAAAGACCGATTGCGATCAGTCATCTGTTGACTCACGTTAAAATACATGGGTAGAATTGTAAACTACACAAAAAAAACGTGTCAAGCTCGCTAATAAGGTTTTAAGTAAGTGAAGGTTTTTTTTTGTGTAGTTTGGGTACAAAAAAACTTTAACCGAAAAATTAAAATTTATTCTTATTTTATTTTACCTATAAACTAATTCTTTGTAAACTTTTCTAATAATAGGTTGTACTTACTGGTGAGTTGTTGGGCTGACATTTATCCGTAGGGGTTCACTGCCTGATTCAAATTTGTTGGCAATAGTGACATTATGACCGAACAAACAGTACCTGGGCATTTTCACGCCTACTACTCCAGCCAGTATGGATCCGGTGTGCAGACCGATTCTCATCTAAACATTTTTATATCAAATTCATAAAATAATATTTTTAACATTGTTTTTTATGTTTAAATGTTGATTATAAATTTTAATGTAACCATGTGATAATTTATTACGACGCATTTACGCGTAACGTTTACACAATTCTCTTAATTTTCGTGTTAAAAGTTAAAACTAATAGCTTTAAGTTCAAAGGGTAAGTTTTCTCGGTTCGAAAATTGTCCGTATTATCTCCTAAATGAGATCACACCGCACACGTTATTAGATACCCCCACTGGTGATGCCATTGTATATTATTTCCGTTTAAACGCGTCTCAGCTAAATGTTAATAGGAAGATTTTGTTTATCGTTGAATTTTATTAGCCACTTTTAAACTTCTAAAATTACCTTGCATATTAAAACTAAGTTCATAATAAATTACTGGTCTTTTGAAACTATAACTTAACTCAAGATGCTCATTCTCTAAAAATGTTATTTATTTGCTTTTTACACTTCAGTTGTGCTGAAAACTAAAGCGCTCAAATAGTTATAGTACAAATGTTCATTATCGATTACATCTAAATTGATGTTTGTTTATATTTGACTGTTTAGCTTACAATATATAGCTCTTACTTTAATCGGTTTCCCATCGTGAGTGTGGTGAGTTTTGCATGTTTCTATCATCTTCAAAGCCATCCAGGCTATCTGTTGTGCATGTATTGAACTGTATTTATGTAGACCTGATGCCACACAGTAAGCATCGCCAATAGTCTCTACCTGTGTAAAATAATCAACAAGTTGTATAATTATTGTAGATGCTAAAAATTATCTTCATGTTATGTTTATTTGATTTTAAACGCTTGTTTTTTAAGGATTATTAATAGAGTTCGGGATTTTATGCATTTATAAAGTTTGTTTGGTCATCCGAATACAGCAATGAAAAATAAAAATTAATGCTATTTTCTTAACCAATTACTGCATACTAATTAGAAATTTAGTAATTGAATGAGCGGAAATCACCCCTCCCGTAAAACAAAAAAATGTTTTTATAGTACCGTAAATACCTATAATAAATTGTCTTGAAGTTGAGTGATTATAGAAATACTATTTTGCTTTTTTTTACTATTTAAAACTAAAAAATATTTTTGTTTCGTGGTGTTTGTGAATTTTAATAACTCAATTACACCTACAAAACTAAAATGATTTACAAGCATTAATGATGTTTCCAATTTTAGTTTTATAAGAGTAATTCGATTAGATTTACTAAAAAAAAAATATTACTCTCATTCTCGGTAGTTTTTGTTTTTGGATAGAACATAGTTTATTGTTTTTAGTAAAACTAAAATTTCTCAAGGGATCGATGAACAATCCATTTTAATTTTATGAATTACAATGAGACCCAGAAAATCTGGGTTGTTTTTTACACCACGATGTCAACTATTGTACAACAAAAGATTTATCGAGAATGAGTGTAAACTGTAGATAATGGTAGTGTTACGCAGAAAAAGTATGCAGGTATTTTATGCAAATATTGATACACAAATGAAAAATGCCTTTAGATTTGTTTGTTTGTTAAAAAAATAAAAATGAACAAAATATTAAACAATAGCATTGCACAGCTGATTGACAGATAGTCTAAATGTTCGTTTGATGGATTTTTTCTGCAACCCATAGAAAAAATACAGCAAGATGTAAAACGAAAGGAAATGAAGAAAAAGAAAGCAATATAATTGCAAAAAATAATAAATAAGGAAACGCGATAATTAAAAAAAGTAAGCTAAATCCTTTTGAATGAACTAAACAAACATACGCTTGCTTAATCTGTTTGATTGCTGTGTATTCTTTTAATATGCAAACTCGAAACCTTTTAATCAATGATGCAGTGACACTATCAAAATAAAAATTGTGGGGCTTCTTTTTTTTGGTAGAAATCTATTTATTTTTATACTAACGGCATTTTATTGTTCATTAATTCAAAGAAAGTCCAGAACACATTTTTTTTTAAATACATACAATTGGACGCTTTTCTTTAGTTATCGGGTTTTTCATTATACAAAGCTGAATTATTCGCTGCTCTTTTTTATTTATTATTCTTTCTCGTCAAATATTTTCTCCGATACCCAAAAACAAGAGCAATATTGTGTTATTGTTTATTTAATCTTTGTATTGCATTGAATATCAACAAATTTTTTACGTCTAACCATTTTTTCATCATTTATTAAGTAATTAAAAAAAAAATCTACACAATTTTTAATATTATTATACTACGTTTTAATCGAGATATTTAAATTTTATTCGTTTGATATATTTTGAAAACTCGTTTATAAACATGATGAATTGTATATAAAAATTTAATTTTGTATGAAAATATAATTTAAACAATAACAAATAAATAAATAAATGGATAGTTCATTGGATGGCATTGAATAAAAGTAGGCGTTTTGGTTATGCAATATCGTAGCATCTGTGAATGCTTTTAGTTAAACCGTTTTATAAAGTATCAGACTACGCCTTAGTAGTGCATGAATATGTATGTTTGTCTCGCCAGTTGTAGTAATTGATTTAAACTGCAGTGTAATATCCGCCCCGAGTATTTTAAATGGCTACAAATAACTAATTTAAAATTAAATTCATTTCGAAACTTATATAAACAGACAAAATGAAAGTGCTAGGTCCTCAAGAGTTGTTTGAATAGCGATATTTCAGAAACAAATGATTTTAGTTTCATTGTATTTTATTTTTTTAGAAAAAGGGAAAATTAGTTACAGTCGTTAGTTTTACATAAAAGGTACAAAGTTACTATTTTAAATTGCTAAGTTTTATAAGAGAACAATTCATTTTATATGAATCTATATTGTATATAGTACTCTAGTGGCGTAGCTTAGATTTTTGCTTGGAAAGGCTAAAACTTATTTTTTGCTTATCACATATTCTTACCAATTACAAAGTAATATACTGTTAATAGTAATAATTGGCCAATGAGAAGGGCTATAGTGCCTAAAGTCTCCCTTCCACTAAAATACTCTGTTATCTGGACAATAAATTTGTTCTATAACACGTAAAGCTTTTATTTAGTGATTAAATAATATTTTATAATTAGTCAACACAAAATTACTAATATAAAACAATTTTTTTATGTCGTGTTTTATTTAGCAAATACGTTAAACTTAAATTTTATAATTTTATTGATCGACATAAATATTAAAACGTCTCAATATTTTTTTTGGTGTAAATATTTACATAAATAAAATCGTATACTAGTATTTATTCAATATAATCGTTATTTTTATTTTGTAATTTTGGATTCAACAGTTGCTAACTGGTTTATCTAATGAATAATTTGATGAAGTTAATTTTTGACTAGCTCTGTTTGATCGTTAGAGTAGAATATTTATTTATAAGTAAAATAATTTTACTATATTTGTTAACAGACGTTAATCTAAAACATCATATAATTTGTTAATCAGAACAATTAATCCACGACTTGATTTGAAGCTCGTAATAAAATTAATCCAAAAAATGTCTAATATTTTTGCTCACAATATGCTTAAGTGTATTGGATAATAGACTGATAAAAAATGGTTGTTTGTGTCAAAATTAGAAATATCAAATTACTTATTTAATTAAATATTAAGAATTTTCAATACGTTTATTGAATTTATTTATTTTTAAGTTAAAAAAATGTTTATTTGTTTTTAAAGCTCTTTTAAGAGTCAGTAAAACATAAGAATGTATCATTTTAATGTGCGATATTCGCTTTTAAAAACTAACTCCGTGTAACGTGTCTTTATATCTATCCCAAGTCCCATTTGAAAACCTATCAAAATAGTGTTTTCATTGCTACATATACTGACTGTTATAGCTTGGGCAATGGTAGTAAACTAGCACAATTTATTAAATGTTCTCTAATACTTTGTTTTAATTCGTATCGGTACACTGAATGTTATGTATTAATTTATATATATATATAAACACATATGTTCTATAAGTAATTTCGTCCCGAGTTTTTACGATAACCTTTTAGGTTATAGTTAGCTGCAAAAGTATATAACTACTTACAAGTCTAAGTATGGTGTTCGTCAGTATCTTCTCTTCTTAAACTAACCAGAAGTCAGTTTTATTTTTATTTGTAATCTATATTCAAGCGGTAACAAATTCTTTTACTAGAAAAATGTGATGTTTTGCTTGTTGTCGTTATGTTTTTCATATAACCCGTAGGAGTGATTTCTGACAAATTATGTAACTTTCTAGTAGTACACGGTAAGTTGCTTTGTCAAGTAATAATCATTGACGTTTTCAATAAGTTAGTAGAGAAGGATGTGAGGAACGATGGTGTACTTAAATAAGATTAGTATCATTGGCGGTCATCTAATTCTTGGCGTAACATTCCCGTATAATCTTCGAGGTAATTAAAGTTGAGATATCCTTATCCTCACTGTTTTAATTGACACTAATTAAGGTTGAATTTAGGCAAATTTAGCACTATCAACAGTTCTAAAAGCATTTTATCAAAAGTATAGAAAGTTTTCAAAAAAAAAAAAATTGTAATGAAATCATATCACGAGTACAATTAGTAATAAATAATTTTGAGATAAATGTATGGTATGAATTGGTGTGTATTTTCTTGAAATTTATGATAAACATTAAGATTTATTGGGTTTTGTTTAATTTTGATATTGTTATTGATTTTTCGAAACTATATAGTTTGACAAACCGAAATTATAGTTAATGTAACGATAAAATAATTACATAGTTTGAATAATTATATAATACAATAGAGCCAACTTTAAAAAATAGGTAACTAAATTTAATTAGTAATTTCAACTGATATAGTTTGGGCAACTATGTACGATAGTTGTTCCAACTATAAAATAATGTTGTTATATTAACTATGACTATAATTTTTCTTTCCGTCTAATAGATTTAACCCTATTGAGATTCTTGAAGTTGTTTTAGTACTGACTCAGGTATTTTATTAATTTAATTACCAATTTCATCTTTGTACTACAGAATATCTTATTAATTATAAGATATTATACGTGTGAATAAACGCGACCGATGAGTTAAATAATTAGTAGTAAGAACGTCACAATACAACGAAATTCTTGATTAATTATTAAGTTTGCTATGCAATATATAATATATATATATATATACAGGGTGTTATACTCTATAAATATTTCGTATGAAAAGTTAAAGTAACACAATATGATTATAAAATTAACACGGAAATAAATAATAATAATAATAAAGTATCATGACAGAAATAAAAATCAAATAAATAGGTAAAAATTGTAAATTAATTTGATTATTGGCTAATGATTAATGATTATATTGTACAAGGACTAGAAAAGTTCTTTGTTAAAAATGAATAATTAATTTCTTTGCAGGGATTTATTTATTTTGTATTATACTAGTAGCTGCGCAGTTCTCGGCCGCTTGATTAAAATCTTCCTTCTATATTACACAATATATATTTTTCATCGATAAACATTTATGTCATATAGATAAAGTTTAAAGACATTAAGGTTTAAATGAGTTCAATATTTTCATAGTTGTGGCCGTTTAAAGTTTATAAGGCTCGACGACCAGTTTCGACTGTTCATTGGTCGTCGGTAAAAATCCAGATCTTATTGGTCAAACATTCAATCCAATAAATTGTGTAATGATTACTATAGAGGACTGTATATTTGATAGTTCAATTGTTTTTTAATTCCCATCTTGGACTCATCCGGAAGACGTTATAGTACCGAAATGACGATAATATGTGTACAACG